TCGCATTCCTTAGGAATTTAAACAACAAAGTAATGGACATTAGGATTATCAGGAAGATACCATTAATTTTTGTTATTCTAATCTAGATATACTCCTAGCAAACTAGGTGTTGCAGATTACAATTTCATATAAAAATTGCCATGTCTATCTTGTCGTTACAAGAACAAAGTCAGGTGATCCTTTATTCCTTATGTTAATAAGCAATTGAGTAATAAAGGAAAAATATCTACTTAATTCATCACAACGTAATAGTTTTTGCATGTTTGGTGTTTATATGTTGCAAACCAAATTTCATAAAATGCCCAATAATGACATACTTAAAATAACGGTACTAGAAAAGAAATTGTACTTAATCTCTATAGCAGATTGAACAAAATACTTCCATTCTGAAATGACATGGATAAATGAACAAAAATCAAACTATTATTATCTAAACTGTTAGCTAATTTTTAAGCTATGATGGAGAGAGTGTTGAAATCAAGTGAAAACAACTTGTGAAAATGTGATATATAGTTTCCATAAACACTTTCAAACAGTCTTATTAAATAAAACCATACAAACAAACCCTAAGCGTTCAATTCAAATAACTATCATGAAGATGATATGTTGTTCCCATAAACCCTTCCAAACAGTCTTATTAAATAACAGAATCCAAACAAACAAACCCTAAGCCTTCAATTCAAAAAACAATGTTGAAGATGATGATATGCTAGTACTACTGATGAGAAATCTATATCAAACAAGCACCGTATCTAGTTGTTTGGAAACAAAAGATGAAAATATTAAAATGAAGATCAGAAGAAACCTGGTGGCGAGTACATTGAACACTCCAGCCTTGTCAGTTGATCCATCAGGAGCCATAGCAATTGCATCCCTACCTCAGATGAAGCTTTGACCACAAAAGGGAAAGGTTTTGATTTTGAGAGACTATAAGAAAAAGGGTTTCTTGAACAAAACCATTCGATGGTAGGAAGAAAATAATTTCCTACTCCCTTTACCCGCCAAATTTTTTTAATTTTATAATTAATCTAATTTATTTATTATCTAATTGTTTTTATGATTTGTATTATTGATTAAATTTTTATGGTTAATAGTCATTGACAAGCATCGGCAGTGAATAGTTCACAAGTGAAAAGAGACTACAATCTTAAATTATCATTCTGACCTCCGGGCATCTAAGAACTTTTTCAACTTTTTCTCGTGAGTGGACACAATTAACGACAATCGATCATATAACAAACGAAGTAAAAAGCATCGGTTATTTTCAATGTTTCAATAAAAAATAAAGTCAAGTTCAACATAACATACGCACATCTTTCCCTGACATGATCTGAATGTCGCATGATCGACATATCTAATAAACACTTAGCAGTCAATGGACCCTCCAAGAAACCCTCAATCTGCGTGTATAGGCTACTCTGTCAAAGTCGAAGCAGTAACCTCTGTCTCAACTGGATGAGTAACCTCGATATTACCTATAACAGACGGAGTAATCTTCATATCACTCGTAGTAAGCGCCTCAATAGTTGTATGTGGCATAACCTCTGTAATAGTTAGAGTCTCTCTCTTAGAATGATAGGGCACCTCTGTCTCGCTCACCATCTGTCTGTCATCCTTAATTGCTCCTTGAACATCCTTAGTAATTGGCTCATCATTGGAATCTATGGTGTGAGTGCTTTTGAATTTTGAGTGATGTCAAGACTAGGATAATGTAGCGTTTTGTATATTGGATCATATCATCTCATTCTAGATGTGCATCTTAGTGTTAGGGATCATTCGAGTAAGTTAGAAATGAAGCTTGCATCAAAATTGCATTGAAAAACTTGTTTTTGGATGGTCAAACCTTTTCAAGCCAACACATGCAAGAACAGACCGACCTATACGACTCTTAGGTCTAGTCCAACCATTAACAATTTCAGGTTGACTCCCATGGAGCAGTATTAAAGCATGTAGCTTCTGTCCAGAGGTCGCCTCACATAGGTCGGCTTGTATGCAACATAAAAAGATGATAGTTTCCATTTTTTACTTGCTTTCTTGACATTGTTGTAATTTTTTGCTCTTAGAATCCCAACGCTTCTACATATCAAAACCACAGCGACGAAGATAACAACAATGAACAAGAGCATTATATATTTATAACCAAAGAGAGTTCTTCAATGACCATGATCTTTATCACAAATGTTCAAATCATAATTTGTTGAACTTTTTGGAATTTTCCCAACACATGAATGAACCTTTGTTTCCAACAAAAACAGCAGTGTGGATGTTGAACATTTTGATTAGTCATATCTCACACATTATGGATCAAAAGTATATCAAATTCATATTTAAAATGTTGAGATTAATGATCATTATAATGAATGTGATTATTAGCCATTAGTCGTGAGTCATGACTGTAGGTGAAAAGTCATTTAAGTAGCTAAATGGATTATTTGAAAAGCTTATAATGCATTATTAAAAGTAGAGGTTGGTAGTAACAACTTGCTTTGAGCGATGATATGATATCACTAATCTCAAAGTACTAAAGTCATATATATTCAATATCAAACTTCAGAATCATAAGCTCAATTTTGACGGATAAACAACTTAAGTAAGGGATTCTCATAAAAAGCTGGGTATAAACTATTCTTTATGACAAAAATAAACTAAATTTAAAATGTTTCCATACAAACTATAAGCAAGTTTCATAAACTATGATGGAGAGCATGTCAAAATAAGCTAAAAACAGGAGATAGACATGTGATATGCTAGGGCTGATCAAATTGTGATAAATCAATTAAAACATACCGTGACTATTCAATACAATAACTAACTTGAAGAAGATATGTTAGTAAGGCCGTGACAAAACAGTATCGAAAGATGCTGGTACTGGTTATTCACTATTTTTGAGATAAAGAACAAATTGTGATTAATTCATGCCGTGATGACCGCAATCAGCGTTGCAAGACCTATACCGACCAAAATGACAAAAACTGTTGTCGTTTTAAACCTTGCTTATCTCAAAGCTATACCAAGCCACTATCTATCTAATTCTCTCAAATAAAAAACTTTCATAGTGAAAATAAAGGGAAAATTGAAAAGCACATACCTGGTGGCAATGATTTGATGACCAGGATGAGATGACGGTTAAAGTGCAAAAAGGAAGGTTTTGAGAAATGGGTATTTGAACTCTTTGAATTTGTGAAAAGAAGAAAAGGGGTGAGTGGCAGCTATGAGCAAAAAATGCATGTGAATCCGACAATTTCCTTGGTTTAATTAAAGTTACAAAAGTGTGAGTTAACACAGACACTAGTAGACTCCAAATTATTGAATTAAAGTCCCACATTGCCGAGTTAGCAATGAAGCAGAAAAGATATCAAGTATAAAACACATAACTAGTCTTAATTTCAAATCATACATTTCTCGGCCTTTTGGCTAAGATCAAGTGTAGTATCTGTTCTTATGAGTTTAATATTTGATATGTGGGTCAATGGTTCACACGATATTAAATTTATTTTTTGATGGGAAGAGTCCCCTACAATAGCTTGCTATTGGGTCTCTCATTTGTTGCTTTTTAGTTGCACTATTGCAATAACTTGGCACTCATTTGATGCTTTTGTGTTGCACTATTGCAATAACTTGGCACACCCCACCATTCATAGTTCAAAATTTTTGTTGCTTTTGTGTTGCACTATTGCAATAACTTGGCACACCCCACCATTCATAGTTCAAAATTTTATGTTATCTCTACTTCGGCAGAATGCAGGGCAATATATTAATGAACTTCCACTTAAAATAATAGTGAGCTATCATTTGATTTGGATTCATACCCTTGAAGCCTTGGGCAATATATTAGTGAACTTCCACTTAAAATAATAGTGAGCTATCATTTGATTTGGATTCATACCCTTGAAGCCTACTTCACTAGGATTGCAAGTTAAGTAACACTATAGGATAAAATAGGCTTCAAGGCTACGACACCAAAAGAGTGAAGTAGGGATTAATAGGTTCGCAAATTTCTAAGCGGACCAATGCAATTTTTTCATAACCAACCTTATTTGCACCATCACTCTATCACAATACAAATACATCAAAGACCTAAAAAAGCCAACATCATCAATGCTAATCTCATAAATTATCATTCAATCAATATATGAAGAACATTCATAAATTACCATTTTGTCCACAATTGGTAAGAAAAGAAACACTACTACAAAAATAAATGCGACAGAATCATCCTGCTAAATCAATTCCTTAGTCACCTAAATTGTATGCTTTCTTGTGCCCACGCAAAGGGATTATTTCTTATTAAATATTCCAAGAAATGATTTAATGACATCGATTGCATTCTCGATGATAAATGATTCATCAAATCTTAACTCAAGCATATTTAGATACACAATCCTCTCTAATTGATTGAAAATATTTTATTGTTAACCCGAAAACTCTATCAGTCCCTCAACGCTAAGGGATACAAACCTGCTCAAAAACAGATAGTTAATTAATATTTCTTTGTTTCATGAGCCCTCTGAAGAAAGACTCACCTCAGATGTTTCTCAGCTGCCACTGCTTTGAGGATTTAGGACTTGGTTGTCTCGATGTATTTCATTATTCTGCACATATGGGTTTTGTTTATAGCATTTCATAAAACTCTAGATTAAGTCTTACTCTATAAGATCTTACCAAAATTTGGGTGAGTTTTAAATAAAAAATTTGGGACCACACAAGTAGACAATACAAAACATGCCACATATGATTAACATAAAATAATGCAAAAACTTAGAGGTCAAACATAAAGAATCTTGATATTATAAGATGAATAAAAAAAATTACAAAGTAATCAAAATCTCTTTAACATTATAGATGTGACGTATATTTAACTCTTTGAAATAAATAACATAATTAAAATACAAAGCATGACATATTATTCATTCATAGTATTTATAGATAGATCAAGAACCATACACTTGAGGTTGTAAAAAAAATACAAATTGTAAAGCTAGCAATTAAGCAGGCTTGTATCAATCAAGTTTTTCTACGATAAAACTTGTTATAGTAACAACTTGATTGAGAACATTGGCATTTTTTGGCACCATGGGATTACCATGATAAGGAGGTTCATCAGGACCACTTCCTTTTAGACAAAAATCAATATACATTAGTATAAGATCTGCAGCATGAAACATCTCTTTGTAATTTCTCACCTTCAACATGTCACAAAAATAGTCAATATCACCAACAACATCCTCAAAGTAAGATAAACATTTCTTGTAGGGAATTTGTGCCTCAAAATCACTACCACTTTGTGCGATTAACCATTGGATTAGAATGATGGTGTTGGTAGTGTTGGAACGAGCCACATCAAGAGTGTATTGTGCAAGGCTGACAAGATCTTGACCTACACCGTCAGGCTTTGAATTCAGAAGATTTGTACAAAATGAAACATCCTTTGTTTGTTTGCAAATAGCATCCACGTCTACAACTTTGATTTTATAGGAGCTTGTAACTGAAAGAAGAGAAATCACCACAAAGAAAAAAAAACCTATCATCTTAAAGTTTGATTCTCAATTCTATTTCTGAATTGAAAACAAAAGTCGAGTATATAATATATTATTATAATTCTTAGTCATTCAATTTTATTTAATTCATTGACCAAAATATATATTAATCATTCTTTAAATTATTAGTATTTGAAAACTGTATTTAAGGAAAAAAAGTGAATTTATTGAGCCGGAAAAAAGTGAATTTATGCTCAATGTGAAAAAAAAATTCAAATGAACTGTATTCAATTTTAAACATTACCCGAGATCTGTAATAATGTATTAAATTAAATGAATAAATTATGTCGCCAAATGAACAGTTTAGGGGTCGAGTTTGTTAGTATGGTTATAGAATAAAATTCCACTATGTTTTAAATGACATTTTAATAGAGGGTCGTTTTATCAATTTCAAATTCAACTATAATTAAACATTATTAAACATTATTTATTTTTAAAGCATTCCTTCATCTTACATTTTTTTTATAAAATATATTAAAAATAGTTAATTATTTTTAAATAAAATTAATGTATAAAAAAGTGTAATTATTGATGTAACTTTTATTACACAAAAAACTACACCAATAATTACACTCTTTTTTATACATTAATTTTATTTTAATTGAATATATTAACATATAATCATTTTATATATCATTAAGATACCTAAAAATAAACATAAAAAAATAATTTTTAACATTAATTTTGTAGTAATTTAATAAAAAAAATGATTATAAATTAATTTTAGGCATAATTAATTACGAAATCCTTTAAGTTAATTTAATATTTCATTTTAGTTCATTATCTAAAAAATATTACAAATTAGTCCCTTAAAACAATTACGTTAAATTTTGTAAAAATTCGTTAAATTGTGCACATGTGACATGACAGCGTGACAAAAGTTAATATAGTGAGTCAACAATTTTATCAAATATTAAATTAAAATCTTATAATTATTTAAGAGACCAAATTAAAAAAACTAATCAAACTACTATTAGAGTACATTTGTAACAATTTCATAGCATTTGGCTATTCGATTTACCAAAAGAAAAATAGTATATAATTTCATTCAGAAAAAACTAATTGCATAGCATTGTAATGATTAGAGTATATCATCTACTCATAAACAACTAATTTACATAAAAATACATTACAAAAATCAACACCTCTCTAAATATCTATACATACTATACAAATAAGAGGAAAAAAATCTGGTAGTGTAACACTAGAGCTTTAACCATTACTCTTTATTTCATTAGCTCTTTGAATCCTTCCATAGCTAAGTCCCTATTGAAACCCATTTTTCTTAGTCAATTCGGTAAGAGACTTTGTTATTTTTTCATACCCCACAATAAATTTTCGATTATATCTAATTAGTCCCAAAAATTGTAGCACCCTCTTCACATTGTGAGGAACCTTCCACTCCATCACACTTTTCACTTTGACAAGATCTACTACTACACCATGTTCTATCTGATATTTTATGTCCCAAATACTCAACACCGGCTAGTTACAAAGCTATCAGAAGAATTTGAAGGTTTGTCGAATGCTATGGCAAGTGGTATTAGTTAGAAAGTTAGCTTTTATCAAAATCACTGTTTGGAATCCAACTATTTATTAAAAAGTACATTTTATCTAGATTTCTTTAAATTAAAACATAAAATACAATATAAAAAAAAAATAAAGCCATATCATTGAGAATTACTAGTAATACTGGTTATAATTTACAAATCTCTACATTCTGATTGTCCACGCCCTTAACCATGGCTAAATTTAGAACACCACATGCATAATAGAGCATGTGCTATTAACGTTAACCTCATTAAAGAATGGTAAAGAAATGAATAAACCAAAAACCTTAACTAAGATAACACAAGTCGAACAATAGTTTCAACAAGTACATAGACATATAAAACCCATCTAAAAAACAACTTAGATACCAAATACGAAGGGTGTTCTATCAATCGTAAAAAGCACTGAAACAATGGTCAAAACTCAAACCCCTTCCTAAAAAGAAGCTTATATTGACCACTAAGAACTTATTATTGTGAAATTCATAATAATTATACTTTACCTCTTTCTCATTGCACATGGGGATCTGAAAAAAATACAATAGAAAAGAAATTATTTTCTCCATATTCAAGATCTAAAATGTAACACCCCGTTACCCAAAAATAAAATAAAACAATTAAAATCAACAATTATCAAAGTTTCTCCCACAACGGGATGTCACATTCCTCAAAAAATTCCACAAATCATTAAAAAAAAAAACTAATTTCCAATAAAATTTTCAGCGGAAACAGAAGTAGTCTGCCATAACACATAATATATATATACATCGTCGTCGTCAATCAACATCATCATATACATCATGTACGACCACTGTCCAAAATATACATCCATCAAACATCATTACTAATCCCACAAAATAAGATACGCCACAGGGGCACACATAATCATCAATAAACCATAAATATTCCCAAAAAGCCCCGGTGTTACGTATCAGAGCAATCCTATGACACTGCCACAATCCAAGCTAGCTATACACCTGGATTGTCTGTACTTCCGAAGAAGCACATACCACAACAACAACAAAGGGGGTGAGAATTCACGATCAAATATTAACGGTATAAATGTACATGAAATAAAGGCAGAAACATATAAAACGTCATTTCATATACAACACATTCGGACCTACTGTCCCCCCATCAACAATCACTACACACAACAATGCAACACATGTCACTCAGACAATGATATGCGGTACCGACTCACAACAACGATGGGCACCGGGCCATCAACCCTCCACTAAGGAGAACACATCACCGATGGGAACTCGGCCATCAACCCTCCACACAGGGAGCACAACAACAATATCGATGGACACCTGGCCATCACCCTCCTCACAGGGAGCACATCTCCGATGGTCACTGGGTCATCACCCTCCATACAGGGAGCACATCTCCGATGGTCACTGGGTCATCAACCCTCCATACAGGGAGCACATCTCCGATGGTCACTGGGCCATCAACCCTCCACACAAGGAGCACAACAGCATCGATGGACACCTGGTCATCACCCTCCTCACAGGAGCATATCAACAATATCGATGGACACCTGGCCATCACCCCTCCACTAAGGGAGCACCACAACACAACATGCCATGCATAATCTCCAATGCACGCACACAACAACAATCACACACAAATAGCATACACGGTCCCCTGACCACATCTCATCATGTATCATACATACATATATCACACATCTCATACACGTCTAGCACACAAGGTGCAATCCGATCCAACCGATCCATCCCTCACACAGTATATAAACACAACGTGCACAGGCGTATCGATCCTACGGATCCATCATATATCACACATAACACATACACATCTTTACATATCACATAATCCACCGATTTTGTCCAATGCGATAAACGCTGGCCACACAGCCCTCATAACCCTCAACATACTCTCAGCACTCAAATATCATCACAGCACATCATACCGATCACACTCAGCGCCAACAGCTGTACACAGCTCTCAAAAACCAAAACCTGCTACGTTCGTGATCGCTCCGCAAGTGCACGGAAATATCGAAGTAATATAAAAGATTGTCGAACCCACAGAGACCAATGTCAATCTACCGTTATCTATTATTACGGCGTAAAGCTGAGGCTATTGGAATTAGGAAAATTGAATGCGAATGAAATTAAACGCAAAAGAAATAAAGAAAATTGAATGCGAATGAAATTAAACGCAAAAGAAATAAAGAAAATTGGTTTAAAGAAATGCGGTAAAGGATATCGGTATGCAAAGACTTAGTTATCTGGGATTCGACAGGTCACTGATGCTTCTTACTCTTTGCAAACATTGTTCAGAAGAAAATAGTGATCTGAAGACTTTCGTCTCACGATGGTTGTTGACGCTAGTCATAATTCTAAGGGCCGAATGTACGCTTTCGCTGTCCCATTCGGGGTTAAAACTACTTTTTGGAAATCTCTAGGTTCTAATCCATTTTAAAGTGTTTTCGTTGTTATTAAAACAAATGCCTAGTGTTTACTATCTAGTCTTGCCGCAGCTTTCGCTTGTTGGTTCGTACCTTAATTAATTTCCCACTTTCGTGGCAAAACTACTTTTAAATAAGTTCTCGCTTTCGCGACGAAGTTTATTCAGTAAATAAATTTAAACACTACGGCCAGAAAGGTTGTTTGTAAAAAGGGAAGATGCCGGTTACTATCGAATCCTATCCTACTAATTCGGTTACATACCGATAAAACTAACTTAGCCAGACATGATAATTAATGCGAACGGAAATAGACATAAACAACAGAATAATAAAGCGTGCATCATAACAGAAATAAAGTAGTAATTCAATTAATAAAAACCTGTAAATTGTACTGATCTCAAATCCTTGGGTAGTCCCCCACAATGTCGGCAGGATTCTACTTTGGCGAGAAATAAAAGGTACAGGGAGAAAATACAATATTCTGAACTGAAGGAAAATGGAAAGGAAAATAAAAGTAACGATAAATAACTTTATGGAACTTTGGCAGAACTTCGGGATGAAGAATCCACACCTTTCTCTGTGAGTCTCTTGTCTATTTATAGGAGATGTTTCTTATCTCAACTTCCTGAGATCATGTGTGAGAATTGGAGAAAGTGGTAGTAACTTCCAGTAGTGGGCAGTGAGTGGAGAAAGTGTAGTAACTTCCAGTAGTGGGCAGTGAGTGGAGAAAGTGTAGTAACTTCCAATAGTGGGCAGTGAGTGGAGAAAGTGTAGGAAGGATTTAAGTTGAGATTTATCGTGAATTCTGATTCTGCGTTTTTTGTCTGCGTGACGGTCGTCATGAAATGTGACGGTCGTCACACGCATGACGGTCGTCATGGACCTGTGACGGTCATCACAGCAGCAGAATCCGTATCTGCTGTTTTTCATCTATTTTTCATCCGTTTTTCATCTGTTTCTTCTCCTTTTCTTTCTTTAGTCCAAATTCTCCCCAATCT